TGCGATGGCCGGCCATGTATCGTGGTTACAATACGATGCAAGGCCGGTTGCCGGGCGCACACCCACTCGCGGCCACCTCGGTCCAATCGGAACAACAAAATACATTGTATGACACAGGATCGGTATGGACAGGGCTCCCCTGATACCATCATGGCCGCCCCTCAACTTGAAAAGGATCTACCCACATCCAAAAAGGACTTACCAGGCGTGAAAATGTCACCCCGAGGTGGGAAACAGCGTCTTCAGAGCCGACAAAGTAACCCAGATCTGGTTCCACCACCGGATACCTGGAAATGCGCATCGAAATTTGGAAATGCCTAAAAGGCCGCCTCGAGATCTAGTAAGCCACCATCGGGATTTAAAAGAGCACCGCTGTATATACAAGAGCACTCCGTTTGCTAGAGAAGACAGCCTCAAAGCCCTGAATAGTGCCCAAGACCTGCGAATATGAATTTCAGGCCTGAAATGACGTTCTCAGAAGTGACGCGTATTCCAAGACTTAAAAGGATGTTCCAGGTATGAGAATCAGTTATTGCAAGTTACAATAGCATCCCAGACGATACCATGTGCTGCGCATCTTGACAGAGTGCCCCGGACATGCGATAGTGCACCTTGTGTCTGAATAGACGCTTCCAAAAAATAATGTTCCCAGATGTGGAAACAGACCTAGAAATGCACACTCAATTCATGCAAGGATGGCCCTAGACAGTAGAGCGAGTCCATCATGCCTAAAAGGTTGCCTTTAGATCTGACAAGGTCACACTCGTGCTTGAAAAGATGTACCCAGACTTAACACGCGCCCGGGTGGCCGGCTGGATGCCTTTCTCTCGGGCAGGGGGTCAATTTGACCCCCCTGAAATATCGAGAACTATGAGAGCTAGAAACCCCAAATTCACAGGGTATTTTAACCTGTGCGTGAAATTACTTAGGTCAAAGTTTGAGATTCCTAGGTCATGACCTTTGGGTCAAATAAGGTCAAGCAAGATCAAATTCCGGGTTGGTCTCCAAAATGCCCCCCGAACCTAGATAACTGTTTCTAAGCAAAAGTTCACATGCTTATTTAAGGTAAGTGACGTTGCTTGACCTTTTGAAGGTCATGGTGACCAAACCCATGCAAGACTGCTCTGAGTTTTGCATTTGAACAAGCGACAAAAATTACGCTAGACAGTATGCTCCTAGAAACCAAATGTTGACCTGGGTCGTTTTACGTTAATTAGCTATTCTGACCTCTACGAAGTCTATGGAAGATGCATTATGCGGTTGCTGCTATCAACAAATTCGAAATGAGCACCAGAAACTATCCCACGCAGCAAGCCCTAGAATAATAAAACAGGTTGGTTTTAACCTTGGTGTGACCTTCATACCTGACCTTAGGTCTATGCAATTTGCTCATGTAATAATTGTGTTGTCTAAGAAAGCATTTCAGAGATGTATGGCTTTGTCTAACACTCCGTTGTTGCATCATATTGAACAATTCCCTAGACGTTGGCCTTGCTGAAACCATGACCTGACCTTGACCTGCCATAGGTCAGCGACCTTACAAGGTACATATATTGTTTCACCAAACGATCCGCTATTCCATTGTCTACACCTATGCAGAATTTGGCGCGGCTACGCCGTGCCGTTCGAAAACCATTCCTGAAAAACCTTGGGGGGGGGTCAATTTGATCCCCCCTCCACCCGAGCGCGTGTTAAAAATGCTCCTCCAGACTTGAAAGGCGCTACCAAGGTTGAAGAGCCGTCCCAGATCTGAAAGGGTTTGGAACATGTTTGGGGATACTTTTTGAGGGGACTAAGAGATTCTCAGCGATGCAATCAAAATGCGTCCCTCACTTCTGTATAGACTGATTTCTCTAAAAATACAGTCTGAAGAGAACAGATGGGAAGACAGAACACAACGGAAGGACAGGATTTGGTCAGGTTTGTCTCATAAAGCGGGTTCTTGGGCTCGCAGCTACGTTTCGCTTAACATGTGACAAATCGCGTTTGGAGACTAATTAAACTGAGCCCCTTTCATCAGCCTGTCAGTCTCACACAATTCCATGCGGAAGCAGGCCAGCGCACTTCCGTGGTTCAGAAGACAGATAAGAAAGACTGGATGGGGTTTAAAGTGCAGTGGCTGAACCTCTAATTTGAGTGAAATAGACGAGAACTCCAAAACTGAGCTGGAAGCTCTTACGGAGACCGGGACATCAAGCACGTCCCCAACATAGCGATCCTCCCGTGCGTCTTCACCACTAGGCTGTTCACGATAGCCATCAAAGAATCTTGCCCCGTCCTCCCGCGCTATGACATGGGTACCTGACGAATCCATCTCGCTCCAGCTTGTCTCTGCAACAGCTGAACGGCCAGGCGCTTCCCCGCCTGGCACCTGGCCTGCCGATGCATTGCGACGTAGCGATCGACTAGCTTGATCGGGGCGATCAAAGGCTGGGGCGTGCCCACCAGGCGTGATACGAACACGAAAAACGTGTGGCAATGATGCCTGCCGAGTGCTGTTTTTCTGACAATGTCTGCTGAGTGCTGCGCTACTGACGATGCCTACCGAGTGCTGCTTTGCTGACAATACCTGCCGATTGCTGCCCCGCTGACGGTGCTTGCCGAGTGCTGCTTTGCTGACAATACCTGCCGATTGCTAATCTGCTGACGATGTCTGTCGAGCCCTGGCCGTCAAGTCCAGTCTAGTGCGTGCTGTGGAGATCGATGTCCAGATCTGTATCGCGCACTGACAGGACTTTCAACGTGAGAAGGGTGACTACCACGTGTGTGAGGGGTAGTGCAGTGGTCAGATATAGCGCCTGCGACGAGTGTTTTTCAGTCTGGTGTTCGCAACGACAGCAAAGGTGTTTGAGCATGCCGAGCTCCATGAGCAGCTCGTCTGGAAGAATTCCAGGTCTGGGACCTCATTATGACAATATTCCTCTTCCTCCTCTTCTCAGGCGGGGCGACAACCGCCACCCCGACGAGGTCACAGCGCCGGCGGACGCCAGACGGCCGGGAGGAAGAGGTTGGAGGGCGACAACATCTGCCAGCGCGTGGTGGCTGAGACCACTTAAATCAGCCAGTCACGCTGACACCAGTATTTAGGCATCTAGTGCAGAAATTCCTTCGTATTCCCGCGACTGTATTGGAATCCAGACAAGTTGGAAAAAATGTGGCCAATGGGTTCGCAGCTCAGACGCGTGACACAACAGGGTGTGCGTAGATGGCGTAATTTTGGGCGTAATTTTTGCAGTGTCACATATTTGATGTGGCGTGGTATAGGAAAGATGGTAGCTGTTACGGTATGCTGCCAAGCACGCATACCGCTGTTACTGTATGCCGCCCAGCACGCATACCGCTGTTATTGTATGCTACCCAGCACGTACACCGGCATTTGGTAAGTGGGTTGTGCCGGTAGCGTGGACGCTACCCCATAGCGAACTGTTGAGTACGGTTGAACTCTGGTTTTCCCTACATTGAGCATGGAGTGTCACTTCCCAACTCCGGTACGTTCTGACCGGCAGTAGTCGCCACCATTTCAATAAAATGTACGATCCACGCTATGTTTTTCCCAAACGGCTTATGTGATATTTTATAGCTTAGAGGAGGCCTTTTTCAAGCCAGGCGAAGAAGGTAGGGGTGAGTTTAACTGCAAGTGCACACAGAAACAGGGTGCAGAACTGCAGACCATTCTACTTTTTGCCGCAGCTGATTGCCTTTCCACACCTCAACTAAGTCACTGGATAAGCTTCGGCAAACTTGAAAGCAACGCCACTTGATGAGACACTTTTGCATCTCGCGCAGCCTGTTAAATTATATCAGAATCAAAACATACACTGAAAGAGGCGAATGCCTATCTTGTCAGAAAAAAACCGGCTCCGGTTCAATACTCCACGGAGATTACAGACATGTCCGTGAGCAGGATTCGATCCATGCTAAGCCAGGCGGGTCATGTCAGGAGCTCGGACAGTTCGTCCCAAGGCCAGAGGATAACTGTCTTTAGAATGTTCTCATAAGTGAGACTCATAAGGCGAATTGAGAAGGCTACAGTAGCAGCCACTGTGCCCTTGCCCTTCGATATTACAACATCTGTTGCTGAATTTGCGGAATTTGCGTATTGAAATTCTGGTACAGCAATTTCCACGGTCTGCGTCTGCGGCAAATCAATTCTGCAATTTTGACGCTCAGGCAATCTCTAACCAGGCCGTGACTTTCCAGGCTGCGGGAATCGTTTTAACCCCAAAACACGAGAGGGTGCTCTACTAGACACTCCTGAGAAAGTTCGGACCCCCGAATCTCCGTGCCCCGCCTCTTGTCAGTTTTTGAATACGCCACTGACTCATCTATATCGCTGCCGCTGCTTGTAGCTGCTCTGTGTGACTCGTTTGCACAAGTCGACTGATTACCGCATGCAACTGATTCGGGTGCTTAAATCGTGCATGGGGACGAATTTCGGCTGACGGAAGACCTCTACAGCTATCCCAACTTGTGCCCGTATGACCAGCTATGGTCTCACCACCCTGGACACAAGCTGAGACCCTGCCGTCCAGCGCGGTGGGCGTCACCGGGACTGACGTCGCTCTCAAGAGACCCTGCCGTCCGGCGCGATGGGCGTCACCGGGACTGACGTCGCTCTCAAGAGACCCTGCCGTCCAGCGCGGTGGGCGTCACCGGGACTGACGTCGCTCTCAAGAGACCCCGCCGTCCAGCGCGGTGGGCGTCACCGGGACTGACGTCGCTCTCAAGAGACCCTGCCGTCCAGCGCGGTGGGCGTCACCGGGACTGACGTCGCTCTCAAGAGACCCTGCCGTCCAGCGCGGTGGGCGTCACCGGGACTGACGTCGCTCTCAAGCGTCACCGTCAGCTGTCCCCGGGCCGGCGGGGACGCGGCGCGTCAGCTGATGCCCGCAAGCCACGGCCGTGACGTCACTGTCGACGGCCAGCGCGGCGGCCGCGCGCCGTCCCGCAGGATCAATACGGAGGCGGCCCGGGCGGCGCCCCCCGCTGGAGTCGGGCCGGGCCGCGTGCTGGCGCCGCAGCGGCAGCGGGCGGGTGCGGGGAGTGGCGGCCCGGGAGACGCGGCCTGCGGACTGCGCGTGCGGTAAGTGGAATCGGGGATATCGCAGATGGTTCCGGGGACGCAGGGCTCAGAAGCCGGCGCGCTAATTGGTGCTGGGGTGTCGCGCGTTGGGATGCAATGTTTGCCATGTTTAAATCCTCCCTTTCGCCACGTCGCGGTCACCATTACGATTTGAGTCCTTGGGAAAAACCGGCCGGGAGAGCGCCTCTCTTGGTGGCTGCGGGCTCAGAGACTGGTGAACGGACGAGGCTCGCTGTTGCACCACGCTGGGATGAACTGTCGGTCGGCCCGCCGGGGCCCAGGCCGGCCGGCTGGAGTGCCGGCTCGTGTCGCAAACGTAAATGTGTTACATCACGTTAGGCCGCGGAGCTTGCAGTAGGATTGCGCCGGAGTGTGCATGAACACGAGCACGTGAGTCACGAGTCTGAGTTCTGGCGCGGTGAGCCGAGTCCCAATCCGGGTCCACCGTGGCCAACCCTCACGTGAGTCTGGAGTCTGAGTCTAATAATCTGCATGACTCATAAATCCAGGCTTCCTCTGAGTTTCTTACTGTTGAGTCCGGGTCTGTGACCTAAACTCGCACCTCAAAGACAACGGCCATAAGTTCCTTACAGGAGCGAGCATGACAGATTGTTGCATGACACGTCCGGAGGTGCTAGAGATCGTCAAGGGTACAAATAGTGATGGGCAAGGCGTGCGGGAACCAGAGGACGACGGGGGAGGGGAAAGCCTGCACTTTCTCCCTAACTTTCGGAAAATTTAAGATTCGCCGTGTGTGTGTTCACTGGAGAAATAACCACAAGTGCCTTCTCGATATTTGGAAGAAGTTTCGCTATCGCGGTTGATACCTCACAAGCCAATACCCAAATCAACCTGACCTGAGCGCTGATAGTCTTTACTTTGAGCGATTAACACAAAACCAGAGTTTTTCAGGTGTGAGAGAGAAGCTGCGGATGAATCACTCTATTTGTATCTACACGGTACCACACGCAACTAAATCGGTAGCGTGAGTCATAGCACTCAATATTCCTTTGACGATTTATCGAGAAGACATACGAACCATTTCGTAGAGAGAGAATCTGACGCGAGCGCCTGCCTTGCGCGAGAGAGAAGCCGCGTGTGAAGAACTTTCCGTCCGTCCTGTAGGCCCATCGGTGGGAACGCTTGCCTCGCATCCTACCCGTGGCGGCTTGGGATGAGTACTGCGGCACGTTAAACTTTCGCCACAGGGCTCTGCCGTTGAACTGGAATTTTACGAGTGGATGGTGGGGTCAGAACTCACGCAAAAAGCCTCGCTTACCTTACCTCCCAGAAATCCATCAGCTGAAATGTTGGGACGAAATTTATAAGGACGAAATCCTGCTGCATTTTTGTTCGATGCATTACTCATGGCGCGCAAAAAGTGTGGAGAAGCAGCACATTTGAAGTGCTGAAGTGGACAGATGAAACGAATCACTACATATGATCCATGCATGCACTTATTCCACACCTATTTGCACTTGCACTTTTTCTTATATTGCACTTATTCTTACTCATCCATGCACTTATTCAACAAGCATGCGTCCGCAGCCGAAAATGTGGCTCGAGATCAGGATTTTCCGGAATGAAGTAATATTGCATTCGTGTTTTCACCGGCTCGTAGCATGAAACGGTCGTTGTTTTCAACCGCCACCTAGAACCAAAATACTTCCAGGCCGGAAAACGCCTTGTATGCAATCTGTCACTTGACCCACCCCAAAAGCAGACTTGTGCTTGGTTCCGGCTCACCAAAATCGGTTTGGGCTCCAATTCCCAGCTCATGGTTCGACTCTGTCTCTTGTCATGAACGGTACAACGTTGTGCTGGGTGGACTCCGATTCCGCCGCAAGGAGACATGCCTGAGTTCCGAAGTGGATTACGATTTAGTCAATTCCAGCGGCAACGGTTTGGGAAGTACACCGTTCCATGAGCCATTCAAAAGCTTGCACGGGTTAGATATTGGAAAATCGGACAGCGGTCTGTCTGGCGTGCCACATGTTACACACCATAGAACTGACCGAATATAATTCCCCGCTACTTATGTTTCGATCTGAACGAACTAGCCAATGATTTAGGTCGATACGGTTACCCGGTTTCAACTCTGACCAAAACATTTAAACGAATCGATTCACTCGATTCACTTCACTCGGAGGCAACGCGAGTCTGTCCAAAGGTATGCTTCGCGACGGGATGTCTGACAATGTCGTGGGTATGCTTCGCGACGCGATATCTGACAATGTCAAAGGTATGCTTTGCGACGCGATGTCCGACGATGTCAAAGATGTGCTTCGCGACGCGATGTCTGACAATGTCAAAGGTGTGCTTTGCGACGCAATGTTTGACAATGTCAAAGGCGTGCTTCGCGACGCGTTGTCTGACAATGTCAAAGGTGTGCTTTGCGACGCAATATCTTACAATGTCAAAGGTGCGCTTCGCGACGCGATGTCTGACGATGTCAAAGGTATGCTTCGCAACACGATATCCGACAATGTCAAATGTATGCTTCGTGACGCGATGTCTGACAATGTCAAAGGTATGTTTCGCGACGCGATGTCTGCAAATGTCAAAGAGCGAGTGGTCTGTAACTTGTCCTAAATGGTGCACATTCCAATGCACGCGAGCGCCGCCTAGGTCAACAATGCTGAACTCGTTGCACTGGCCAGCATGCTGAGTATACAGAAAACTAGCGTGCGCCGCCGTAATGGCACACACAAAGCTAGATGTAGTGCTTGCTGCACTCTGCCGTCCGTCCTTCGACCTGACCCTCAGCAGTATTTGCCCGCAGTGGCGATGTGTTTACCCTTCGCGAGGCGGCTATCTTTTTGCGTGGCGGTGAGAGGTGACACACTTGGGTGTCAAGCCAATCGCCATCGGCGGCTGCTGCAAAGCTCGCGACAATCGCCAGGCCTCGCAAAGCCGTTGGTCGTCACCAGACACCATCCGACAAACGTCACGCTTAACATTGGACTAATACGCGCCTCTGGGCCGCTATACGTTGGCATGTGGTATCCATTGTTCCGTTTCATTCCTCTACCCCGACGCAGTGTTCACGGGTCATCACAGCGGTCGGCTGCGCCGGCTGCAAAACAGTGCAGCGACTCCAGCCAGTGTAGCCAGCTATTTCGCCTCATGGATACGAACGCTCAACTGGAAAGGCTTGCTCAATGGTGAAAAATGACAATGCAATCATATTTGCTGACAGAATTCGGCTTGGGACGACCGGTATTCTTCTGTACTTTATAACTCATGTGTGTCGATTTCTCAAAATGATTGGGGAAAGACAAAGTCTCGGAAGTCACCATAGGGGGACAGGTGGGAAAACTTCTCGGATTTGTCCACTTGTACACTACATATATATATATATATATATATATATATATATATATATATAATAGTCTGCAATAAAAACATGTTTTTTAAAGGTCATATGTGTAGTCACCGGAATCACATATGGAAGCCAGGCAGTTTGCATTATCTTCTTATATGCGCACCTGTTTTGTGAAGCTGAAAGGGTGAAGTTGCAACCCCACCTTGCACATCCAAAAGTGAAATCTGCACCTAATTTATCCTTGCTTGCTTAAAGAATTTTTGTCGTATTGATCTAAATTAGAATGGCGTTCACAACACATGTGGCTATCAGAACTCGTTTACGCGTGAATTCTCACCACACTGAAGTATCATCAATACAATAGTTGCATTTCAGTTATCGTAACACAAAACACAAACACTTCCCCATGTACCAGCTACGAAGATGGTCCTCAAACCTTCCCAATTAGCTTAAGTAGATGCCCTTCTGTTAATAATGCCTTTCCGCGCTCATTTCATAACACACGCTTCGCAAGCCTGCTGTGTTTCTGGGGACATTACTTTAAGCCTTTGCGCCTCTTAATGGAAAACGACCCTAGCCCGCTTCAGTTTGGAAGTGTGGTAAATGGAGCCCCATGATGTCAGTGTCACGCGCAACGCAGTGTGAGTATAAACGCATTGCTAGTTGAGCTGACTTTAAGGTGGCCTCATACGATTACGCTGGTATACCCACAATGGTGCACAATGACCTCACCCGCGCGGATGCGCGGCAAGAACCTTGATAGGGGGGAGGAGCGCAGAACTGACAAAGGGTCCCCTCCTGGTGTAAGGACCCCACCTTAAACATAACCAGATATGACCTACTTGATTTCAAGGGACACGATTTGCTCCGTCTTATTTTGATGTGTACCCTTTTTACGAAACAAGCCAGAAGGTATCGAAACGTGCCAGTCTGTCGGTATTCTGAAGTCATTAGCCTGAAGAAGCCAGGCATTAAATGATGGCATATATTTGATTCCAATGATGGCATAAATTCATTTGGCACTTCCTCAGTGGACTCTTTCCGAGTGGAGTAGTCTTTAGTAGTAGTCTAGTCTTTCTGAGGGGCTTTGGCAGAATCTTTGCTGTCTCGTACAGAGATATTGTGAACGTAGATTATAGGTAACGCCGATTGTAGATCGAAATGGGGAATATATTTGCTTTTACATGCCTAATCCCCGTGCGTCCGGGCATCTAAAACCTGTTTTCAGAACCCAGTTGCGAAAGAAATGCATCACATACTTTTGGCCATGTACGCTCGCAAGCCTTAAACCAAACCCCTGATGCCCGGCGTTGCAGTCTCCGTGGACTGCGCGGCTTCCCCCCCCCCCCCCCCCCCCGTGGCTTGTATTAAGCGGAGGCCAGCGGGCGGACAAAAAATGATATCGTTTTAAAAAAAAAAAACCTTTGAACGCTTGAGGATGTCAATTTGTACGTTTTAAAAAATAATGCGTGAGCATGTTTCACCTTAACAATTCTTAGACTTACAATATGAAATTATTAGCATTCGCAACACATTAGACAGGTATTGGAATTTGACCATGGAACTAGACAAGTTATGGTGTAATCTCTGTATTGGGGCTGCTGCCGCTGTCAGTCCACTCAGAGAACATCTCAAAATTATGCAGGTGAAATATACGTTCAAACCTAATAGTTGA